AGAGAGAGAGAGAGAGAGAGGGAGAGAGGGAGAGAGGGAGAGACACACACGCACACACAGATTTTCATTAGTTATTATTACTGCTGTATTCCCCTGTGGTGTTATGCGTTTAGTTTTCCCTATAATCTACCAAATAATTACATTAAATGTAAAAACATGTTATTTATCTGCTGTTTTCCTCCAGAACACTAGATTTCACTACAAGTGAGATAAATGGTAATTGCTCATGGACCGAGTATAGATATGAAGACTTAATCTATAAAATAAATGTAATAATAAGGACATTTAAAAGGCTTCTTCCCACTAAACATCTTTCCTATATGTGTTGACATTTGTTTTGTTTTACTGACGATAAAGGAATGAATCTAATACACCTTATATTCAATTAATTAAAGTGTCTTTTGTTCACAAAATCAAGGTTTAAATACCTGTAAATATTCCTCAAACTCTTCTCTCTTGGATTCGAGGAATTCCAAATTCTTGGGTCCGATTATTCTTTTGGACGGAAGCTGAGCGTCTGCAAACGTGCCTGGAATACAATCATAATAAATAAAGCTGAAAGCAGAGGATATATGATATAAGATACCGACGGTATAAGCTGGTATTGTGATATTGGGAAATATGAAAGAGTTTTAATGTTTTTTACCGTGAAACTCGGTGAGTTTTGATTCGAGGACGTAGAACTCCAGATATCTTCTGAAGACCGACCACTTCTCTGTTTCATGACCAACTGGAAGAAGAAGAAGATTAATAAATTACATTAATATGTACATAAGGAGAAAGTCTTTCACAATCAAATAGACATTTTACACAAGGTTCAGATACAGTTACTCTGTGGGGCTTTTATTTTGAAAAACAAGCCTCTCCTGGAGCTTGCTTTATTTACTTACTGTCGCTTTTATTTTGAAAAACAAGCCTCTCCTGGAGCTTGCTTTATGTATAGTTACTTACTGGCGATTTTATTTTGAAAAACAAGCCTCTCCTGGAGCCTCCAGTAAAGTATACACTTACGTTATGGGGCTTTTATTTTGAAAAACAAGCCTCTCCTGGAGCTTGCTTTATGTATAGTTACTTACTGTCGCTTTTATTTTTGAAAAACAAGCCTCTCCTGGAGCTTGCTTTATGTATAGTTACTTACTGGTGCTTTTATTTTGAAAAACAAGCCTCTCCTGGAGCCTGCAGTAAAGTATACACTTACTTGATGGGGCTTTTATTTTGAAACACAAGCCTCTCCTGGAGCATGCAGTTAAGTATCGCTTACGTTATGGGGCTTTTATTTTGAAAAACAAGCCTCTCCTGGAGCTTGCTTTAAGTATACAGTTACTTACTGGTGCTTTTATTTTGAAAAACAAGCCTCTCCTGGAGCTTGCTTTAAGTATACAGATACTTTATGGGGCTTTTATTTTGAAAGTAAACGCTGGGCTTTCATGGCAGGCTTACCCCGGATTTAACAGTATTTTGAACTTTCGTTTCATCACCCTCATCACATCTAAATCTAAGCCCATGTGACCTCGCTGGCGGAGGACTTTGTTACCTTCCTTCCTGTCGTTTCTCTCCACATCGATGTAGAACACGGGGATCTTGTCTCTCTTGTTGTCATCGTCACAGAGGTCGATGTACGGGATGCCGATGCTCCAGAAGGAAAGGTTCCTCAGAGACCCAGCTGAGCAGGGAGGCTCCGCGGGGGAGTCGTCCTCCATCACCACTGTCGCCTCCTCCACCTGCAAGGAGACACAAGTAGACAACATCTAAAATACTTTCCTATTTCCTTTCTATGAATTCACTTAGGACACAGCTTCCCTACAGTAGGACTAATGGTGTCTTTGATATAGAAACAAAGTAAAACTCGTTGTGTTACTAATTGAGAAAGGAGACAGTAACACCAATTCATTTGAGGGTGTTGAAGTGAGTCTTCATCCTCAGAGAAAGCTGTGCTAGTGTACAGACAGAACTCTTTGAATTAGGAAGAAGAAGTGAAACCCTCACCATGTCTTCGTCCATATCGTTCATGTTCAGGGGCGGCAACATCGCTCCCTCCATCGTCGTGTTTCGAAACACACCTTTTATTTTACTGCCAATCCTGCTGATCCCAAACGACTCACCTCGCTTCGACATGTTTCTACAGAGAACAGAGAAAATGACTCACTTTTAAAGAGTCCTCTCCTGCTGATGTTCAGGTGTATTTCAGTATGTAGTCCCTCTACTTTAAAGAGTCCTCTCCTGCTGATGTTCAGGTGTATATCAGTATGTAGTGTATCTACTTTAAAGAGTCCTCTCCTGCTGATGTTCAGGTGTATATCAGTATGTAGTGTATCTACTTTAAAGAGTCCTCTCCTGCTGATGTTCAGGTGTATATCAGTATGTAGTGTCTCTACTTTAAAGAGTGCTCTCCTGATGATGTTCAGGTGTATATCAGTATGTAGTGTCTCTACTTTAAAGAGTCCTCTCCTGCTGATGTTCAGGTGTATATCAGTATGTAGTGTCTCTACTTTAAAGAGTCCTCTCCTGCTGATGTTCAGGTGTATATCAGTATGTAATGTCTCTACTTTAAAGAGTCCTCTCCTGCTGATGTTCAGGTGTATATCAGTATGTAGTGCCTCTACTTTAAAGAGTCCTCTCCTACTGATGTTCAGGTGAATATCAGTATGTAGTGTCTCTACTTTAAAGAGTCCTCTCCTGCTGATGTTCAGGTGTATATCAGTATGTAGTGTCTCTACTTTAAAGAGTCCTCTCCTGCTGATGTTCAGGTGTATATCAGTATGTAGAGTCTCTACTTTAAAGAGTCCTCTCCTGCTGATGTTCAGGTGTATATCAGTATGTAGTGTCTCTACTTTAAAGAGTCCTCTCCTGCTGATGTTCAGGTGTATATCAGTATGTAGTGTCTCTACTTTAAAGAGTCATCTCCTGCTGATGTTCAGGTGTATATCAGTATGTAGTGTCTCTACTTTAAAGAGTCCTCTCCTGCTGATGTTCAGGTGTATATCAGTATGTAGAGTCTCTACTTTAAAGAGTCCTCTCCTGCTGATGTTCAGGTGTATATCAGTATGTAGTGTCTCTACTTTAAAGAGTCCTCTCCTGCTGATGTTCAGGTGTATATCAGTATGTAGAGTCTCTACTTTAAAGAGTCCTCTCCTGCTGATGTTCAGGTGTATATCAGTATGTAGTGTCTCTACTTTAAAGAGTCCTCTCCTGCTGATGTTCAGGTGTATATCAGTATGTAGTGTCTCTACTTTAAAGAGTCCTCTCCTGCTGATGTTCAGGTGTATATCAGTATGTAGAGTCTCTACTTTAAAGAGTCCTCTCCTGCTGATGTTCAGGTGTATATCAGTATGTAGTGTCTCTACTTTAAAGAGTCCTCTCCTGATGATGTTCAGGTGTATATCAGTATGTAGTGTCTCTACTTTAAAGAGTCCTCTCCTGCTGATGTTCAGGTGTATATCAGTATGTAGTATCTCTACTTTAAAGAGTCCTCTCCTGCTGATGTTCAGGTGTATATCAGTATGTAGTGTCTCTACTTTAAAGAGTCCTCTCCTGCTGATGTTCAGGTGTATATCAGTATGTAGTGTCTCTACTTTAAAGAGTCCTCTCCTGCTGATGTTCAGGTGTATATCAGTATGTAGTGTCTCTACTTTAAAGAGTCCTCTCCTGCTGATGTTCAGGTGTATATCAGTATGTAGTATCTCTACTTTAAAGAGTCCTCTCCTGCTGATGTTCAGGTGTATATCAGTATGTAGTGTCTCTACTTTAAAGAGTCCTCTCCTGCTGATGTTCAGGTGTATATCAGTATGTAGTGTCTCTACTTTAAAGAGTCCTCTCCTGCTGATGTTCAGGTGTATATCAGTATGTAGTGTCTCTGCTTTAAAGAGTCCTCTCCTGCTGATGTTCAGGTGTATATCAGTATGTAGTGTCTCTACTTTAAAGAGTCCTCTCCTGCTGATGTTCAGGTGTATATCAGTATGTAGTGTCTCTACTTTAAAGAGTCCTCTCCTGCTGATGTTCAGGTGTATATCAGTATGTAGTGTCTCTACTTTAAAGAGTCCTCTCCTGCTGATGTTCAGGTGTATATCAGTATGTAGTGTCTCTACTTTAAAGAGTCCTCTCCTGCTGATGTTCAGGTGTATATCAGTATGTAGTGTCTCTACTTTAAAGAGTCCTCTCCTGCTGATGTTCAGGTGTATATCAGTATGTAGTGTCTCTACTTTAAAGAGTCCTCTCCTGCTGATGTTCAGGTGTATATCAGTATGTAGTGTCTCTACTTTAAAGAGTCCTCTCCTGCTGATGTTCAGGTGTATATCAGTATGTAGTCTCTACTTTAAAGAGTCCTCTCCTGCTGATGTTCAGGTGTATATCAGTATGTAGTGTCTCTACTTTAAAGAGTCCTCTCCTGCTGATGTTCAGGTGTATATCAGTATGTAGTCTCTACTTTAAAGAGTCCTCTCCTGCTGATGTTCAGGTGTATATCAGTATGTAGTGTCTCTACTTTAAAGAGTCCTCTCCTGCTGATGTTCAGGTGTATATCAGTATGTAGTGTCTCTACTTTAAAGAGTCCTCTCCTGCTGATGTTCAGGTGTATATCAGTATGTAGTGTCTCTACTTTAAAGAGTCCTCTCCTGCTGATGTTCAGGTGTATATCAGTATGTAGTGTCTCTACTTTAAAGAGTCCTCTCCTGCTGATGTTCAGGTGTATATCAGTATGTAGTGTCTCTACTTTAAAGAGTCCTCTCCTGCTGATGTTCAGGTGTATATCAGTATGTAGTCTCTACTTTAAAGAGTCCTCTCCTGCTGATGTTCAGGTGTATATCAGTATGTAGTGTCTCTACTTTAAAGAGTCCTCTCCTGCTGATGTTCAGGTGTATATCAGTATGTAGTGTCTCTACTTTAAAGAGTCCTCTCCTGCTGATGTTCAGGTGTATATCAGTATGTAGTGTCTCTACTTTAAAGAGTCCTCTCCTGCTGATGTTCAGGTGTATATCAGTATGTAGTGTCTCTACTTTAAAGAGTCCTCTCCTGCTGATGTTCAGGTGTATATCAGTATGTAGTGTCTCTACTTTAAAGAGTCCTCTCCTGCTGATGTTCAGGTGTATATCAGTATGTAGTCTCTACTTTAAAGAGTCCTCTCCTGCTGATGTTCAGGTGTATATCAGTATGTAGTGTCTCTACTTTAAAGAGTCCTCTCCTGCTGATGTTCAGGTGTATATCAGTAGGTGGTGTCTCTACTTTAAAGAGTCCTCTCCTGCTGATGTTCAGGTGTATATCAGTATGTAGTCTCTACTTTAAAGAGTCCTCTCCTGCTGATGTTCAGGTGTATATCAGTATGTAGTGTCTCTACTTTAAAGAGTCCTCTCCTGCTGATGTTCAGATGTATATCAGTATGTAGTGTCTCTACTTTAAAGAGTCCTCTCCTGCTGATGTTCAGGTGTATATCAGTATGTAGTGTCTCTACTTTAAAGAGTCCTCTCCTGCTGATGTTCAGGTGTATATCAGTATGTAGTGTCTCTACTTTAAAGAGTCCTCTCCTGCTGATGTTCAGGTGTATATCAGTATGTAGTGTCTCTACTTTAAAGAGTCCTCTCCTGCTGATGTTCAGGTGTATATCAGTATGTAGTGTCTCTACTTTAAAGAGTCCTCTCCTGCTGATGTTCAGGTGTATATCAGTATGTAGTGTCTCTACTTTAAAGAGTCCTCTCCTGCTGATGTTCAGGTGTATATCAGTATGTAGTCTCTACTTTAAAGAGTCCTCTCCTGCTGATGTTCAGGTGTATATCAGTATGTAGTGTCTCTACTTTAAAGAGTCCTCTCCTGCTGATGTTCAGATGTATATCAGTATGTAGTGTCTCTACTTTAAAGAGTCCTCTCCTGCTGATGTTCAGGTGTATATCAGTATGTAGTGTCTCTACTTTAAAGAGTCCTCTCCTGCTGATGTTCAGGTGTATATCAGTATGTAGTGTCTCTACTTTAAAGAGTCCTCTCCTGCTGATGTTCAGGTGTATAATCTAGCTTCTAACACAATGTAAACAATACAGAATCATATAAACAGACATTTTCACATCATTTTGACTAAATATTTTTGCCACATTGACTCCCCGTGAGGACTTTTTAAAACCCATGTGGTGTTCAGAGATGCATTATTTAACTCAAACGTGAGGTTAAAACAAAAGTGCAATCATCAGCATGACATAGGAACAAGCACCAAAGCTCAGCCGTGTCTCCAGATGTTAAAATGTGTTAAAAATCTACAGTGAAATATAAAATGCATACATTCGAATGCAAAGCAGAACATGTATGCGTTCGAAGCAGAAAAAAAACAGCGTAATATGCCATCTGACAAAGGCCTGTGCTATAATGCTTCAATTAACTGCTATTCTTTATACTCAGATCAATAGCAGACAGAGGTGTTAAGTTATAAATCAAGGGTTTTTATTATTATTACAGCAGGGGTGGGGAACATCCTCCGAGGGCCGTACAAATGATTGAACTCAACCTCTGCTTAAAAAAACTAAAATCACAGCCCATTCATTTCACCTTTCTTTCATGCTGTGCAAAGAAAAAGCAAATCCAGAGATCTCACCATGACTCTCGTATGCATGCACGTGCACGGTGTGGCGTGACCACCAAAACAGAAAGATATGGACACAAGATGTGTGCAAATGTATTTAGTTTCCTATCCATGTGAACATGATTTAAGTGGGGGGGACCTAACCTCCTCTAGGGGGGTCCGAGGGGCATGCTCCACGGGAAGATTATTTTTAAAATATTGAAGTTAAAAGCATCAATCTGGTGCACTTTGAGAGCAACATTAAGAGATCTATGGATACATCTCAACACCATTTGAAACAGAACTGTAAACAGATTTTTCTTTTTGGATATTTTACAAACCACTCCCATTTTAAACTCTATTCTTGTTATTTTTAACAACTTTTTTGTGACTGTCATATAGTATTTTATACCTGTTTTTCATTTAGTCTCATTAATAACTATAATGATCATATCAAGGTGTGCCTTAACCTCACTGAGCTGAGGTTATTTGAGCCTCTCAGGAGAGAGCTCTCTTCCACCTGGTTGTAGAAAAGCTCTTTATATTCGTTAGCATAGCTAGCTAACCAGATGCTAACAACAACAGATCGCCACTGTGCTTACAACTAAAGACACAGCCACGCAAATACTGCGGCATGTGTACGGCTCCTTATGGGTACTGCAATATTTGAAGGGCTGGAGCGGCGTTCTGGTGCTCTCCGTCAACACTCCTTTCAGACGAGACATATACCACGTGAAGACACGTTACGCTCGTGTTGTGTTCAAGGAACCTGTCCTTGGCCAGGAAAAACAGACACTAGCTTGTTTAATTATTTTGCGGTCTAGATTTCTTCTTCTTTTTTGAAGTGAGAAGTTGTCCGGACTCCAAACCTCCCCCCCAAAACGAAAACTCTTCGGTTCTCCACGAATTACACAAGTCACCCAAATCAGCTAATTTGCATCACTGTGCATGCATCACTCTGAGCAGCTTTCAGCAGCGAAACATGCAGAACATTTACTCACCGACTCTCGTCACAACTGAAGCTATTTCTGGAACAAGATGCAAAGGCAACTTATGACCAGTTTGGATAAAACACCTTAAAAATGGTGTGTGTGTTCAGAGGACAGTTCTCACTACTGGACTCAGGTAGTTTGATAAACCGGTAACACTTTATGTTAAGGTACACTTATTCACCATCAACTAGTTGTTCATTCACATTAGACACAAACTACTAGCTTATTCTGTATGAACAAGACTTCACTTTAAAATAGGGAACATATTCTGAGTTAGAAATACCTAATTTTGAGTTATTTTGACACTTGTAGTTTCATTTCTTGTTACATAAGAATATATTTGTTCGGTGTTATTATGGGACAATTACTATTCTTGTGGTACTGCTGCCTTATTAGGCCCATATTGAGCTGAGCATATTAAGACCATAACTCACGTACAACAACGTCCTTACTTGCATTAGAGGGTTATTGAGGAAAAACTCTCAACTAATGGCCTAGTACTTGTAGAATATGGTCTTGTAGAATAAAGCATTAGTAAGTGTTTTATAATGACTAATAAAGAGCCTATATACTGCTAATATGCATGTTAATTAACAACTAGTTGATGGTGAATATGTGTACCTTAATATAAAGTGTTACCGATAAACCTATATTAAATAATTAGGCTGTTATTATATCCAACTAATGTTTACTGTGATAAACCCAGTTCACTTCATGGTTTCAATGAGAGTGACGAGGTGACCACAAGTGGGACAAAGAGTGTGTTTGTGTGGGACAATGCGGACAAGTAGTTTAGGTTTCAATATAATGTCCATCCAACCCTAAACAATAAACCTTTATATTGAAACTATAGCCTATAAATATGACTTACAACACTTTACTATAGGTGGATTTCTGACACAGCTAAGGGTGATAGCTCTCTTTTGTTTTCTAGCTATTGAATAATCAAATGCGGGACATCGTCTCAATTTGTGGGACACGGGGAAAATGATAAATATGCACAAAGCGGGACACCTGGTCACCCTAGTTTCAATATTTGTGGTGTTGATATCATGTGAATAAGAGCTGCAAATGTAATCCTTAAACTATTAATAAATGGCTGATTTTTTTTTACTAATATTTATACTGTTTTGGAACGGTTTCATTTTTTTTAATGATAATTCGATGTTTCCAGCTTCTTAAATGTGAATATTTCCACGTTTCCTAACCCCTCTATGACAGAGAACTAAATATCTAAAGTTACGTAGACATTTGGAAACACAAATAATAATTGTTCACTATTTCTAACAAGATATCGAGTCACTGCGGAAATCATTATCGGTTAATAAAAATTGGTAATCAGGTGTTTTCATTATAACCTATTCTCATTCTTAATTCCTATTTTTCCTCATTCTCTTTGCCACCATTCCCTGTGAAATATGCATTAACAGCAAAGTAAACATATAAATATAAATGATTAAACCAACCTGCTGATTCTGGAGTTCCTGGTTGGAGACTCTGCTCCCCTCAGCAGGTGTCTGAAGTACTGAACACAGACAAATAAACAAATAACAATTAATATACGAGTTGAAGCTTGAAACACACGCTAATACATTTCCCAAGTAAGAGTGCATTCTGTTGGACAGTTTCATTAATAATAAAGCAACACATCTTACAATACGATCAGTTGCTTTGATTTCTCTTTTCCAAAAGTGCTGATTCTGTGTCTGTAGCTTTAAATGCTAATGAGCTGCTGCTGGCCACGCCCCTCTGAGAGATGATTGGTTTAAAACAACACAATGGTGCTCTAGGAGGAGATTCAGGTGATAAAGTGTGGGGGGGGGGGGGGGGGTTAACATGGTTGCTGATTGGCTAATGGTTACACAAGCCAAAACATCGTTATGACATCACAAAGTGGCCAAAATCTGATCAGCTCATTTTCAGACAGGTTTTTATAGAAATGGATCAAAAAGAGAGAGAATCTTTGTTCCTGAAACTTTCAGAGTCTCTTTCCACAGAGGGGACACATGTTGATGTAGAAGAGACATGAAGAAGAGGGGACACATGTTGATGAAGAAGAGACATGAAGAAGAGGGGACACATGTTGATGAAGAAGAGACATGAAGAAGAGGGGACACATGTTGATGAAGAAGAGACATGAAGAAGAGGGGACACATGTTGATGAAGAAGAGACATGAAGAAGAGGGGACACATGTTGATGTAGAAGAGACATGAAGAAGAGGGGACACATGTTGATGAAGAAGAGACATGAAGAAGAGGGGACACATGTTGATGAAGAAGAGACATGAAGAAGAGGGGACACATGTTGATGAAGAAGAGACATGAAGAAGAGGGGACACATGTTGATGAAGAAGAGACATGAAGAAGAGGGGACACATGTTGATGAAGAAGAGACATGAAGAAGAGGGGACACATGTTGATGTAGAAGAGACATGAAGAAGAGGGGACACATGTTGATGAAGAAGAGACGTGAAGAAGAGGGGACACATGTTGATGTAGAAGAGACATGAAGAAGAGGGGACACATGTTGATGAAGAAGAGACGTGAAGAAGAGGGGACACATGTTGATGTAGAAGAGACGTGAAGAAGAGGGGACACATGTTGATGTAGAAGAGACATGAAGAAGAGGGGACACATGTTGATGTAGAAGAGACATGAAGAAGAGGGGACACATGTTGATGTAGAAGAGACATGAAGAAGAGGGGACACATGTTGATGAAGAAGAGACATGAAGAAGAGGGGACACATGTTGATGTAGAAGAGACATGAAGAAGAGGGGACACATGTTGATGAAGAAGAGACATGAAGAAGAGGGGACACATGTTGATGAAGAAGAGACATGAAGAAGAGGGGACACATGTTGATGTAGAAGAGACATGAAGAAGAGGGGACACATGTTGATGAAGAAGAGACGTGACGAAGAGGGGACACATGTTGATGTAGAAGAGACATGAAGAAGAGGGGACACATGTTGATGTAGAAGAGACATGAAGAAGAGGGGACACATGTTGATGAAGAAGAGACATGAAGAAGAGGGGACACATGTTGATGTAGAAGAGACATGAAGAAGAGGGGACACATGTTGATGTAGAAGAGACATGAAGAAGAGGGGACACATGTTGATGAAGAAGAGACATGAAGAAGAGGGGACACATGTTGATGTAGAAGAGACATGAAGAAGAGGGGACACATGTTGATGTAGAAGAGACATGAAGAAGAGGGGACACATGTTGATGAAGAAGAGACATGAAGAAGAGGGGACACATGTTGATGTAGAAGAGACATGAAGAAGAGGGGACACATGTTGATGTAGAAGAGACATGAAGAAGAGGGGACACATGTTGATGTAGAAGAGACATGAAGAAGAGGGGACGCATGTTGATGTAGAAGAGACATGAAGAAGAGGGGACACATGCTGATGAAGAAGAGACATGATGAAGAGGGGACACATGTTGATGTAGAAGAGACATGAAGAAGAGGGGACACATGTTGATGAAGAAGAGACATGAAGAAGAGGGGACACATGTTGATGTAGAAGAGACATGAAGAAGAGGGGACACATGTTGATGTAGAAGAGACATGAAGAAGAGGGGACACATGTTGATGAAGAAGAGACATGAAGAAGAGGGGACACATGTTGATGTAGAAGAGACATGAAGAAGAGGGGACACATGTTGATGTAGAAGAGACATGAAGAAGAGGGGACACATGTTGATGAAGAAGAGACATGAAGAAGAGGGGACACATGTTGATGTAGAAGAGACATGAAGAAGAGGGGACACATGTTGATGTAGAAGAGACATGAAGAAGAGGGGACACATGTTGATGTAGAAGAGACATGAAGAAGAGGGGACGCATGTTGATGTAGAAGAGACATGAAGAAGAGGGGACACATGCTGATGAAGAAGAGACATGATGAAGAGGGGACACATGTTGATGTAGAAGAGACATGAAGAAGAGGGGACACATGTTGATGTAGAAGAGACATGAAGAAGAGGGGACACATGCTGATGAAGAAGAGACATGAAGAAGAGGGGACACATGTTGATGTAGAAGAGACATGAAGAAGAGGGGACACATGCTGATGTAGAAGAGACATGATGAAGAGGGGACACATGCTGATGTAGAAGAGACATGAAGAAGAGGGGACACATGTTGATGTAGAAGAGACATGAACAAGTGGATCTTGCAGAATAGGTGACCTTTAAATCCAAGTGTTATTCACACAAACAAAAAAATATGTGCATTTACTCTAAAGTTATTTGCAGATATTCAAACCATATTGAAGTAGATTGGCTGTATCACATGCTAACAAAGAGCTGTCACCTCGTCACTGTGGCAGAACATGGGGGTGAAGACACTCTCCAGCAGAGACAGCACGTGTTCGTACGCTTCAAACAGGCAGTGCATCGTCTGGAGCTTCACCACGCCGCCGTACGGCCCTATAGCAACTGAGAGAGACAGGACAGTAAACAACAACAACAACAACAGAAACATGAAGCACGTAAGGGTTTCACCACGCCGCCGTACGGACCTATAGCAACTGAGAGAGACAGGACAGTAAACAACAACAGAAACATGAAGCACGTAAGGGTTTCACCACGCCACCGTACGGACCTATAGCAACTGAGAGACACAGGACAGTAAACAACAACAACAGAAACATGTAGCAAGTAAGGGTTTCACCACGCCGCCGTACGGACCTATAGCAACTGAGAGAGACAGGACAGTAAACAACAACAACAGAAACATGAAGCACGTAAGGGTTTCACCACGCCGCCGTACGGACCTATAGCAACTGAGAGAGACAGGACAGTAAACAACAACAACAGAAACATGAAGCACGTAAGGGTTTCACCACGCCGCCGTACGGACCTATAGCAACTGAGAGACACAGGACAGTAAACAACAACAGAAACATGAAGCACGTAAGGGTTTCACCACGCCACCGTACGGACCTATAGCAACTGAGAGACACAGGACAGTAAACAACAACAGAAACATGAAGCACGTAAGGGTTTCACCACGCCACCGTACGGACCTATAGCAACTGAGAGACACAGGACAGTAAACAACAACAACAGAAACATGTAGCAAGTAAGGGTTTCACCACGCCGCCGTACGGACCTATAGCAACTGAGAGAGACAGGACAGTAAATAACAACAACAGAAACATGAAGCGCATAAGAGTTTCACCACGCCGCCGTACGGACCTATAGCAACTGAGAGACACAGGACAGTAAACAACAACAACAGAAACATGAAGCACGTAAGGGTTTCACCACGCCGCCGTACGGACCTATAGCAACTGAGAGAGACAGGACAGTAAACAACAACAACAGAAACATGAAGCGCATAAGAGTTTCACCACGCCGCCGTACGGACCTATAGCAACTGAGAGACACAGGACAGTAAACAACAACAACAGAAACATGAAGCACGTAAGGGTTTCACCACGCCACCGTACGGACCTATAGCAACTGAGAGACACAGGACCGTAAATAACAACAACAACAGAAACATGAAGCACGTAAGGGTTTCACCACGCCGCCGTACGGACCTATAGCAACTGAGAGACACAGGACAGTAAACAACAACAACAACAGAAACATGTAGCAAGTAAGAGTTTCACCACGCCGCCGTACGGACCTATAGCAACTGAGAGACACAGGACAGTAAACAACAACAACAACAGAAACATGTAGCAAGTAAGAGTTTCACCACGCCGCCGTACGGACCTATAGCAACTGAGAGACACAGGACAGTAAACAACAACAACAACAGAAACATGTAGCAAGTAAGAGTTTCACCACGCCGCCGTACGGACCTATAGCAACTGAGAGACACAGGACAGTAAACAACAACAGAAACATGAAGCACGTAAGGGTTTCACCACGCCACCGTACGGACCTATAGCAACTGAGAGACACAGGACAGTAAACAACAACAGAAACATGAAGCACGTAAGGGTTTCACCACGCCACCGTACGGACCTATAGCAACTGAGAGACACAGGACAGTAAACAACAACAACAGAAACATGTAGCAAGTAAGGGTTTCACCACGCCGCCGTACGGACCTATAGCAACTGAGAGAGACAGGACAGTAAATAACAACAACAGAAACATGAAGCGCATAAGAGTTTCACCACGCCGCCGTACGGACCTATAGCAACTGAGAGACACAGGACAGTAAACAACAACAACAGAAACATGAAGCACGTAAGGGTTTCACCACGCCGCCGTACGGACCTATAGCAACTGAGAGAGACAGGACAGTAAACAACAACAACAGAAACATGAAGCGCATAAGAGTTTCACCACGCCGCCGTACGGACCTATAGCAACTGAGAGACACAGGACAGTAAACAACAACAACAGAAACATGAAGCACGTAAGGGTTTCACCACGCCACCGTACGGACCTATAGCAACTGAGAGACACAGGACCGTAAATAACAACAACAACAGAAACATGAAGCACGTAAGGGTTTCACCACGCCGCCGTACGGACCTATAGCAACTGAGAGACACAGGACAGTAAACAACAACAACAACAGAAACATGTAGCAAGTAAGAGTTTCACCACGCCGCCGTACGGACCTATAGCAACTGAGAGACACAGGACCGTAAATAACAACAACAACAGAAACATGAAGCACGTAAGGGTTTCACCACGCCGCCGTACGGACCTATAGCAACTGAGAGACACAGGACAGTAAACAACAACAACAACAGAAACATGTAGCAAGTAAGAGTTTCACCACGCCGCCGTACGGACCTATAGCAACTGAGAGACACAGGACAGTAAACACCAACAACAGAAACATGAAGCAAGTAAGAGTTTCACCACGCCGCCGTACGGACCTATAGCAACTGAGAGACACAGGACAGTAAACAACAACAACAACAGAAACATGTAGCAAGTAAGAGTTTCACCACGCCGCCGTACGGACCTATAGCAACTGAGAGACACAGGACAGTAAACAACAACAACAACAGAAACATGTAGCAAGTAAGAGTTTCACCACGCCGCCGTACGGACCTATAGCAACTGAGAGACACAGGACAGTAAACAACAATTAAGTGTTAATACTACAAATCAACACTGAAATATATAATCAGTGTATTTATGAGGTTGTAAAGCCCTAAATCAGCAGTGAAAGATATATCCAGTGTATCTACACTGAACAAAAATATAAACGCAACACTTTTGTTTTTGCTCCCATTTTTCATGAGATGAACTCAAAGATCTAAAACATTTTCTATAAACACAAAATAACCATTTATCTCAAATATTGTTCACAAATCTGAAAGAATGTGTGATAGTGAGCACTTCTCCTTTGCCGAGATAATCCATCCCACCTCACAGGTGTGGCATATCAAGATGCTGATTAGACAGCATGATTATTGCACAGGTGTGCCTTAGGCTGGCCACAATAAAAGGCCACTCGGAAACGTGCAGTTTTGCTTTATTGGGGGGGTCTGGGGGGGTCCGAAAACCAGTCAGTATCTGGTGTGAGGGGTAGGATTAGGGGTAGGGGTAGGGTTAGGGTTAGGGTTAGGGTAATGTTGTGAATTGAGTGGCCTGTGTTCGTCATCCATAACATACGCCTGCCCATACCATAACCCCACCACCACCATGGGCCACTCGATTCACAACATTACCCTAACCCTAACCCTACCCCTAATTCTAACCCTCACACCAGATACTGCCTGGTTTTCGGACCCCCCCAGACCCCCCCAATAAAGCAAAACTGCACGTTTCAGAGTGGCCTTTTATTGTGGCCAGCCTAAGGCACACCTGTGCAATAATCATGCTGTCTAATCAGCATCTTGATATGCCACACCTGTGAGGTGGGATGGATTATCTCGGCAAAGGAGAAGTGCTCACTATCACAGATTCTTTCAGATTTGTGAACAATATTTGAGAGAAATGGTTATTTTGTGTAAATAGAAAATGTTTTAGATCTTTGAGTTCATCTTATGAAAAATGGGAGCAAAAACAAAAGTGTTGCGTTTATATTTTTGTTCAGTGTATGAAGTTTCAAAGCCTCTCACTGTTCCTGATCTCGTCCACGATGAAGGGGTCGAAGCTGATCTTGTCGATGCTCTCCTCGAGGCAGTACGTCTCGTAGATGTGAACGACCTCTCCGTGCAAACGCTGCAGCTCAGAGTCACTCAGATCAGGACTCAGGATCTTATCGTTGAACTCCTCTGCAGGAAAAACAACCACACGGGTCAGTGCTGGGGAAACACTGAATGTCCTCTTCCAATATGAGAGTAACATGATAACAAGGAAAAGTCAGAATTTTGAGGAAAAGTCAGAATTTTGAGAGAAAGTCAGAATTGTGTTCATGACAGGATGTATGATTACAAGAACCGGTATTCCTCCATCTTGTGACTGTGTAACTCCCTCTCTTGATATCAGCATGTGAAGGACACTGTTCAGGAACTAGTTGATGCTCTGTATGTGATGACTCCTTCCATTCTGGAGAGGATCACAGATACATGGATCCTGAGTTGAAGCTCAAGCCGGGGACCAGGGAGAGTTAACATTTTTGAGTTTTTGAGAAAAAGTCTGAATTTTTTGATTTTAACAAAAAGTCAGAAATTCAAGTAAAGTCAGAATTTTGAGAAAAAGTCAGAATTTTTTGATTTTGAGAAAAAGTCAGAATTTTGAGAGAAAGTCAGAATTTTGAGAAAAAGTCAGAATTTTGAGAGAAAGTCAGAATTTTGAGAGAAAGTCAGAATTTTAAGAGAAAGTCCGAATTTTGAGAGAAAGTCCGAATTTTGAGAGAAAGTCAGAATGTTGATATATAAGCTATTCTGTATGTGATGACTACATTCTTGAGAGGATCATAAATACATGGATCCTGATATTGAAGCTCAAGCCGGTGACCAGTGAGATTTTTCCCACAGTCAGTCAGACATATTCTAACAGTCCATAAAATGAACCGTCCTGTCGTTTCATTTAGTTTTTGTACGAAGCACGTACCCACGGTGAGGCAGAACTGCAGCACATGCACGGCTCCTTCCTGCTTCAGGAAGTTCATGAAGCGGAAAAGTAGATCCTGCTGTTCCCGGATCTCCTTCAGGTCCAGCTTCAACACCTGCAAGACAACAGGGAGGGTTTGCATGAAACACTGCAAAAATACCCTTCTGCTGGTCTTTATCTGATGGTTACTGGACTGAACTGAGATATATTTATCGTTGTCATCATAGCTGGACAACAGGAAATACAACACCTTTGATACGCAAGCAACCTTTTTCAAATCAGTGTGGTGATTTCCTCCCAATTTCACAGTAATGTCCCTTCAAATCAAAATGTGAATTAGTCTCTTTTATCTTAGAAATACTAAGTAATGAGTTTGTTACGGTAAATGTACAGTACTTATTCTATTTATCAGGTTTTCTCAACCCCGCAAAGCTACACACACACACACACACACACACACCCACACACACACCAGAGTTCCCGTTAGAATATGTTTTCTCCGGTCAACATGTCCGTTAAAGTTGAAATCTTCCGGACAAAATGAGAAAAGTGCCGGTCAAAGGTCTTCTTTGTTATTTATTGAGCTTTAAAACAAATTAATATGATTCGATATTAAACAAACTAATTCTAGTAGATTAACTACATTATTCAAAAGTGAACAGTAACTTACAATAACACGGGAATAATAAACGGAGCGCTCTCTCCCTCTCCTGACAGCCCGTCAGTCTCATGCAGCTCGCGGATCAGTAGTGAGTGACCCGACAGTAAAACTAAACATATCTATAACTAGTTACGGTAGTTTGAGAGGTCATTAAAATAGCTACGTGTGATATTCTAACCTGAAGTTTGTTTTGTTTGCTCACCGCTGATCATGCAGAGCTGCGTGTCGACTCGTCAGCAGCAGCTGATCTCTCTCTCCCGTCAGATTAGACTTCACTCGCGTTTATGTCCATATCGATCAGATCCAGCTAGTTCTAGCTATTGATATGACTACCTGCTTATTAAAAGACACCTAAACAATAAGCGTTGCTATGCAACCGGGTGAGGCCACAAAGTATAGCGCAGCATTATGCATTTGTTTACATGCCCACCGGAACCCCGAGGCATTACCAACAGATCAACGCACAATCAACCCATCCAGGACATCTCTCTCTCCATATTACGTGTTAGACATTAGAATTGACTATTCTTGTCTGTCACACACTCTTTTGTCTGTCACATAAGTGGTGCAAGTTGCGCAACTGATGTAATATTGCGCTAACGGCCCGTCCACACAGCAGCTTTTGGCGATTTGTCCACCGCTTCCAGCGCGTCTCCGCCCATTGACTTTGAATGGGGATGACGTCACTTTCCCTCGCTTGTCGCCGAACTGCATTGTGGGGGGGCGAGGCGAAGATTTCCAGGATTTCCAGGATGTTCAGGATTCCAAAGTTGAACATTGTTCAACTTTTGAGGCTGAGCTGGAAGCGACAGCCAATCAGATCCGTTTATGCAAATCTGACAGTTCAAGCGCTAGCCAATCAAACCGCGTGCAAGCTGGGAGAACCAGACCCGCAGTTCATTTCTATATTCCACAAAAGTGGAGGAGAAGTTAGTTATTGCGGTAGCAAATCACCCGGTTCTTTATGACCAGTCCCTATTTACTTACCGGGATACAAACCGGAGGAACCAGGCATGGAGGGAGGTGGCAGAGACAGTGGGTGAAACTGGTAGGTTTTCGCTCGTTTGGGGATTTTATATCCAGTTTACTTCGTTGCTAGTTTACTTCGTTGCTAGCAAGCATAGACAGTATCATTAGCCAGCATGGAATGTAGCATAAAATAGCACCATAAACATTAATCTCATAAATGTTCAAAATGTTAAAAAAATAAATGTTCATCATAGCCCTTCCTATTTGACAATAGTGTAGAAGAACCGGGTTTTTTTGCTTTGTATGTCGGGGGCGGGATATTCATGTGATATTCATGTGATTGGTTGTTGGTCGCGAAATCCCCAAGCTGTCAGACACGCCCAGCTCCAGGATTTTCAAGATTTGGTCAAAGCTGCTGTGTGGACACACCGTAAGGGGAAATTATTTTGAACGGACACTTTGACCGGAGAGATTTAGATTTGCCGGTCTTCTGCATATTTTACCGGTCGTAGTCCGGTAATTACCGGCTAACGGGAACTCTGACACACACACACTTATTTTCTTGCTTTTACCGAATGGGTTATCTGTAGTTTACTTTTGGATTATTTTATTCTATTTATTCTCTTGATTTTTTCCTTTTTTGAGGCCATGTACGCATCGTTTACAAACCCTGCATGTATGCTAATGTTTTTAAACTGTCCAAGCACTTTGAGCTGCATCCTGTGAAGGAAAAGTGCTTTAAATATAAAGCTTTAATAGTATTAATATCAGAAAACACAAGATAAACAAAGGAGACGCAGACATATGATGAGGTGGCGGAGGGGGATACAGGTTCAGGAAACTAGAGTAAGTTTTAATTTCATTTTAATTTGTATTAAAAAGCGAGGTACTCACAGACTGCTTCTTGTTGCTGACTTCGGCGTATTTCTGTAAAAAAGGAACGAGTGGAGACGGGGGCTCGGTGGCCGGATCGAGCTGGAGACACAAAAGAGAAGCAAAAACATGATTTAATCAAATGATCCCATAACCAATACACGAGGAAGTGGACAAGAAAGAAACCGCCACTCCAATTGGTTTAAAAAGGTTACATTTCCACGCAGCAGATTATTTGTTCTTATATTCCCTGATTTACCTGTAAAGTAAGAGGATCAGTATTTATGAAATGTTTTGTTCACTTACTGGAGTGTCATCAACAAATATCAGCACCATGAGGTTCACAGTATCCTGGAAAACAAAGAGAAACATTACATTTTAGTATTTTATATTAAAAAACCTTTAAAACACAGAGTGGAAAGTGAGTTTTGGCCATAATTATGAAGCTATTTCATATTATTTCCATCTAAAAACAAAGAAACATTCTTACACAATCTAATGCTCTTCATAGTTACTAATTCAATCTTAAACGGTCGATTGAATTAAAGGGTTTTCTTGTACAATAAACCAAATAAATGATATTATTTTAAGGTGTTACACAATTCCTACAGTGCTTAACTCATAACACAGTCAGACGAAACATGAACCCGTGCTTTAACATCAGTGTAGACTCTTAGTAGTTGTTTATTTGATCATAAAAGCACAGTTACTCACAGGGTCGGCCATGAAGTCCATGGTGGGCAACATGACGGATCCAGACATCACCTCCCGCAGCAGCAGAGACAGAGACCTGCGTTAAAAAAGGTTTAGAATATATTTAAAGGTCCCCTATTACGCAAAATCCACTTTCTCATGTCTTCTTGCAGGTGACCGATAAATAAAAACTATAAAAAGGATATTTGTTGACACTCGTCTACCCTGAGAGCCGGTGGTTGTGCAGGGAAATGCTGTCGTCAAAAGTCAACATTATTGTCAATCTTTCAATGTGTGTGTACAGACTTTCAATGTGTGTGTACAGACTTTCAATGTGTGTGTACAGACTTTCAATGTGTGTGTACAGACTTTCAATGTGTGTGTACAGACTTTCAATGTGTGTGTACAGACTTTCAATGTGTGTGTACAAACTTTCAATGTGTGTGTACAGACTTTCAATGTGTGTGTACAGACTTTCAATGTGTGTGTACAGACTTTCAATGTGTGTGTACAAACTTTCAATGTGTGTGTACAGACTTTCAATGTGTGTGTACAGACTTTCAATGTGTGTGTACAGACTTTCAATGTGTGTGTACAGACTTTCAATGTGTGTGTTCCCTACAATCCAGAGGAATAAAACATTAAACACAAGGTATGTTTACACACTCATTGACTGCGTGTCGCTGTCGCCATCTATACTAGTCATTTTTAAACAATTTGAGAAACACTTTGAATTTATTTATTTCAAAGGTGAAATGTTACCAATATACTCACAGACCACTAGGGGTCGCTCACAAAGATTATAGTTTATAGTATATAGTATTTGTATACACTTCTCTACCCTGACAGGTAAATGCTGTACGTGTCCTACCTGCAGTCGGTGGCTTTGGGCGGCATGACGTAAGGAAACAGCATCTCTGTGAGTTTCCGGAGGTAGAGCAGCTCGTCTTTGCGGCTGCGCAGCGCGATGTGGAGATCAGCGCCGAATTCATCCAGAGCCGCCTGCTGCAAACCCTCCACACTCTGAACTACACACACATATAATCAGAGTTACTGAGGGTCCCTGAACGCACCACTCCCTGAACGCACCACACTCTGAACTACACACAGAAATAATCAGAGTTACTGAGGGTCCCTGAACGCACCACACTCTGAACTACACACACATATAATCAGAGTTACTGAGGGTCCCTGAACGCACCACACTCTGAACTACACACACATATAATCAAAGTTACTGAGGGTCCCTGAACGCACCACACTCTGAACTACACACACATATAATCAAAGTTACTGAGGGTCCCTGAACGCACCACACTCTGAACTACACACACATATAATCAAAGTTACTGAGGGTCCCTGAACGCACCACACTCTGAACTACACACATATAATCAAAGTTACTGAGGGTCCCTGAACGCACCATACTCTGAACTACACACACATATAATCAAAGTTACTGAGGGTCCCTGAACGCACCACACTCTGAACTACACACACATATATTCAAAGTTACTGAGGGTCCCTGAACGCACCACACTCTGAACTACACACACATATCATCAGAGTTACTGAGGGTCCCTGAACGCACCACACTCTGAACTACACACACATATAATCAGAGTTACTGAGGGTCCCTGAACACATCACACTCTGAACTACACACACATATAATCAGAGTTACTGAGGGTCCCTGAACGCACCACACTCTGAACTACACACACATATAATCAGAGTTACTGAGGGTCCCTGAACACATCACACTCTGAACTACACACACATATCATCAGAGTTACTGAGGGTCCCTGAACGCACCACACTCTGAACTACACACACATATAATCAGAGTTACTGAGGGTCCCTGAACGCACCACACTCTGAACTACACAGAAATATTCAGAGTTACTGAGGGTCCCTGAACGCACCACACTCTGAACTACACACATATCTAATCAGTTACTGAGGGTCCCTGAACGCACCACACTCTGAACTACACACACATATAATCAAAGTTACTGAGGGTCCCTGAACGCACCACACTCTGAACTACACACACATATATTCAAAGTTACTGAGGGTCCCTGAACGCACCTTACTCTGAACTACACACACATATAATCAGAGTTACTGAGGGTCCCTGAACGCATCACACTCTGAACTACACACACATATAATCAGAGTTACTGAGGGTCCCTGAACGCACCACACTCTGAACTACACACACATATAATCAGAGTTACTGAGGGTCCCTGAACGCACCACACTATGAACTACACACACATATAATCAGAGTTACTGAGGGTCCCTGAACGCACTACACTCTGAACTACACACACATATAATCAAAGTTACTGAGGGTCCCTGAACGCATCACACTCTGAACTACACACACATATAATCAGAGTTACTGAGGGTCCCTGAACGCACCACACTCTGAACTACACACACATATAATCAGAGTTACTGAGGGTCCCTGAACGCACCACACTCTGAACTACACACAGAACCAGCTGGAGGTTACTGAGGGTCCCTGAACGCACCACACACATCTTAATGGTTGATATTTCAAAAAATCCCCACGAAGGTTGTTTATCACGGGGGAAATTGGGTTTTGTGACAGTTTAGAATGAAAGATAAATAGAAATATGTTATACATGTAAGAAGTTAAAGATAAAAAGATTTAAATAAAAGATACAAAATTGAAAGCAAAAATGTGAAGAAAGAGAAAATGAAATGAAGATAGGAAGCGAAAGTAAAGTAGCTGAATCACTGGGTTAGCTTGAAGTGTGATTAAATAAATGAATATAAATGCACTTAATATTACATGGCTTAGTCGGATACTCGATTCTGATTGGTCGATTGTGACGTTTCAGAGGTCAATAGGACAATACAGATTCTTACCTTTTCTATGAGCTTTTGCAATAATTTCAATGTGCTTCATTCCAGCTTTCATCACTTTGTCTGCAAACACAGCAGGGACATCAACCTGCCGCCAAACACACGGAGTACAAGACCGTTTGTGTGATGAAATGTCACTATAAAGAACATTTAATAATAAAATCAATGATATCTAGTGGCCTGTTGGAATTCATCCTTTTCTTTATCTGACATTTTATTCACAAAAACTAACATTTGAAGACTTTTGATGATTAGAAATGTTTTTTTAACAGCCTCTCTCGCTGACACGGACCTTCTGAGCGCGGCGGACGAGAACCGAGGCGAAGAAACGAAAAGTCATCCTGAGTTCATCGACACACGCATCGTCGTCCGTGATGTCCCTGAAAACAGGAAGAAGGAGATTTTATTTACTCATTCATCCAAATAGTTATCACCGTAATAAACCGTATTTAATTTAGTCTTAATGTACAATATTACATTTTACATTCTGTTCTCGTAGACGGAGGCATATATCAATATTCCAATTACTTATATAGACTATTCTTTCACTATTCCTATTTAATTTGTATTTACTTGCTCTATTTTATCTGTTTTATTGTGTTCTGTTGGAGGAGCCTGTGACCTCAGATGTTCATAAGATAAGTTAAATAATACTTTATTGATCCCAAATTGGGAAATGTTTGCGTTGCAGCAGCATACAAAGACAAGGCATTGTACAATCACAATGTAAAGACAAGAAATACACAAGAAAGTAGAAAATATACATGTTGAATTTACATTATCCCGCTTATTAAAAGGCCACATTCTCAACAAAGTAACGACTCCCAATATTAATTGAAATGCTTTTTAAAAATAGTTGTATTGATTTAAATTGACATGCATCCGCTAAGAGAAATAGTCCGTTGTTACCGTTTGAACTAACGTAGCAACGGCATGAACTGCTTCGATGGCGTGTTTGAGGAGTTACAGATTTGAAAACATCGCTGCTTGCTTTAAAAGTAGCACAATTCATTTTGTCAAAGCTTGGAAAGTATCTAGATATCCTGCCCTAATGCCAAAGGAACTGCACACTGAATATGTTTTGATGTCTATGTCGGGACCGTTGCGTAAAAAGGAGGGTTTCTGCCCCGTTACTTCTCCGCTGTCTTCTTGTCCCGGCCAAACTGTATACAGTTCAATCGACCGGACTTCTTTCTGCAGATGTGAGCGTCCTTAACAACGAAGACAGCGGTCTGTTCTGGATTAACAACGTGTCACGTGTTCTGGATTGACCAATCAGAATCGAGTATTCAACTAAGCCATGTAATAAATATACACAAGTATGTGACGGATGGGATATTAAATATGAAACTGAATATATAAGTGATTTTATTCTAAGAGAAACTATGGAGCTTCCTTGTATCATATTCTATTTACATGTATAGAGACTTCTTGCACTATTTGTTATTTGTATTTTATGATATATGTGGCATTGTTGGAGGAGCTCAGGTCCATTTCTACACTGTAGCTTTATGTGACGATAAAACCTTTGAATCTTAAAACAACTTCTAAATAACACTGTGAACAAGGAAACACTCACCGGTACCACGGGTACACAAAGTTCTCCAGAACTAACTCGAACACCTACAGGTAGAAGGGAGAAGGAGACAACACAGAAATCTCAGCTGATGTGTTTTGAAGTTTACAGACACAGATAATCATTTAAAAAGGGAGAAAGAATGCTTTTCAATTATACGTTCAATATGTCTTTCTGGAGTTATTAACAATTCCTTTTTTATAATTAAGTAATCTAGGCAATACATTAAGATATTTTCAGTTTTTTATACATTATTTTTGACTCTTGGTATGAACTTAAAACCTGAACTCTGAACTACACACACATATATTCAAAGTTACTGAGTGTCCCTGAACGCACCACACTCTGAACTACACACAGAAACAGCTGGAAGTTACTGAGGGTTATTTATCATGGAGGAAATTGGGTTTTGTGATATGAACTTAAAACCTAGATTCACGACTGGATTAACCTCTTCATGTTTATTGATCCGGTTTAAGGAGAAGTACGCACTGTTGTGAAGTTATTTATCTCGTGCAGGAATCCTGAAGTCAGATGTAAAACCTCTAAGACCTTCTTTAAGACGCTTTCCATACGTTTTAAGACCTCATCGCCACTTGGAGTTCTAACCGGTTACCATGGCGACACACTTTACCTCACATTGACTATAGTATTGATTGTCCTTCCTCCTTATCTTCCAACCATTTGGACGCAGACTTGCATTTCCCCATAACGATGTTGTTTAGCAACCGGCGTAAACGGACCTTCACGCTATCAAGCAGTGAGCGTGCGATGTCCTGTTCAGTTGACGTCAAAAAAACAAGCTACAAAATGTAACACCTTGGAAAATGCCGTTTAATAGCCTTCATTTTCGCTAAATTGATTTATCAACTTGTAATACTTCTTAAGACCCCGCGGACACCCTGTCGTGCCACAAAGCATGATATAATCCAGTGTTTTTGAGAAGACTAAGCTTCGTGTTTGCATATATTTCGTTGCTGTAGGAGACGAAACAATAATGGTATTATAAAGGGCAGAAAGAAAGACGAAACAAGTTGAATAACATTATGAGAAAGTGGAAGCGTAGTGTACAAAAGTAAGACGCTACCAATTGTAGACGTGAATCATAACGGACGTACCTCTGCTGCTGAAGCGTCGACCTTTGAAGGAACTTTCAGGTCTAACCACGGCTGATAGTTCTCCAGCAGCAGCGTCGGCCTGCAGGGAATTCAACATTTGTGAAATCAGAGCGACTTGGTGAAGGGATGAGGACACGAGAAAGTACAGAAATCATGACGTAAATCTCCAGGTGTGCTCCACAGTGTGGTCCATGGCTGACGGTTTGTTATGACATGCAGCAAACACTAGGTGTGGACGAAGGCTTTTAATTCAACTAGTACCTCTAACTACTCCTCTTGATGTGTTTGCCCCATTTACACCAAAGCAGATTCCTGGTATGTGCAAACCGGATTCTGAAGTGTTCCCTGGCTAGATCAAGCTTGAAGATATATAGATATATAAATAATAAAACAACGTACCGGTGGCGTTTGCACTTCACCTTCCCGCACACGGCGCAGCTGTGACCCAGAGGAAACAGTTCCTGCTCCTGACGCTGCGGAGGACAAAGGATTCATGTTATTCATATTCAGAAATCACATTATAGTCTAGTTACCAGCTCTTAAAGGGCCCATGTCATGCTTTTCTGGTTATCACCCGTCCCCTTGTGTTATGAAGCTTCTGCATGTAAACGGTCTGCAGAGTCAAAGACCCTCAAAGTGCACCCTGTAGCGAGTAACTCTAACACAGAGAAGACCTGTCTGTGCTGCCCCAGAACGCCTCGTTGGACATTTATCTTTTTCCATTGTTTACTTCCTGGGTTCTGTGACGTGCCCATACCCAAATGGACTCTTTGACCTTTTAACGTGGAGCCGTTACGTTACGTCCGTTACGCGGACTTCCTCTCACTCACACACTCAATCTTTTCTCAGCTGCAGCTCCGCCGATTTCTCCTCCCTGAGACGGCGGGACGCGGCGAGGCTGTGAGTCTGTGTGTGCAGACTCACAGCCAGGCTGCGGGTGTGTGTGTGTGTTCGGGCTGGGTTTCGCTGTCTCGCAGACGGCCACTGGGCTCACAGGGGGGGGGCAGGAGCTCCAACAAGCCGTGTACAGAGAGTGAATACACATGCTATACAGAGATGCTGTGAGAAACCAATGTGAGTTTGGAACATTGAACAATGTGAATCTATTCTATAAACCTCAACAATGGAACTATGATCAGTGGAAATGGCCGTGACATGGGACCTTTACGTCCTGCTGTGAACCCAGAAGTGTTGAGTACTGTAATGTTTTATGATAGAAATGTTTAGTAGGGTCTCCAGCACTTGCTAACCTGCACATGTTGGGCTCACAATAAGCTGAGTTCATTACCAGTATAGCTTCTGTTGACAGTAGTTTAGAAATGACTTGGCCATTAAGTAAATATAAAAAGGCCTTACACACTGTGCAGCTAAAGGGTTAACGTGTGAGTTACTTTGTTCCTCTGCTTCACGGGGAAGAAGATGTTTGGAACGAGGGACTCCGGTCCGAGGGAGCAGTAGAAGGTGGTGACGCCGGCGAGGAACGACCAGAAGACCATCAGGACGTGGAGATACCTGGAGAGGGACGAGTAAACCGCATTAAAACTCAACAGAAACGCTCACGAACACTGATCTAACCCAGGAGCTGTAACCTGAGCTTCGTCTGGGGCTCTTGGGGCTGCATCATGCACGAAAGGCGCTATATCAATAAAGTAACCACAATTGGAATTAAAGTCAATTTAAGACCTGTTCACTGTTCATGTTTTATGGTTCATTGATATAATTCTTTCTGTTTTTAATGATGTTTTCTGTCACACACTGTAAAGCACTTTGGGCTGCGTAAGGTGCAATGTAAATAAAGTGTATTATTGTGACTCCCTCTGAGTGCAGACTGAACCTGCCACTGTTGAGCCAATAGAAACACTGATTTCATGCATGCTGTGTGTGTTTTCTACCTGTTTAGCAGCAGTGTGAGCGCCACCAGAGACAGCAGCAGGAAGCAGAAGACTGGGTACTGACGTCCCACTTCCCTCAGGACGTCTATCTTCAGACCCAGCTTCACTTTCTCTACAAACATTAAAAAACCTGCCATCCTGTCGTCAAAGAACCTGCGGACCAGAGAGAGACGTTACAGACGGTGACACCCAGGAAACAGGCGCTATTTACGGGTTCAAATTACACTATAAGCTGCTTTAATGACTTACAGCCAGAGGAGAGAGAAGTACTCAGATCTTGTACTTGAGTAAAAGTAGAAGTACTCAGATCTTGAGTAAAAGTAGAAGTACCAGAGTGTAGGAATACTCTGTTACAGTAAAAGTCCTGCATTCAAAATGTTCCTCAAGTGAAAGTAGAAAAGTATTGTGTCATGGTGCAGATTGGTCCATTTCAGAATAATATATATGATATGTTTTATAATGATTGATCATGAAAGTGTTCTCAAAGCTGGTGAAGGTGCAGCTAGTTTGAAGTACTTTGTATACTGCAGGGTAGCTGGTGGATTTACTCCAGGTGGAACTAAAGTCTGATTCAACACTTGATTAGATTTACCATCATTCATCCAGATCTGTGAAGTAACTAAAGGGATTAAATACATGTCAAAGTACACCATCTCAAAAGTGTACTTAAGTACTTGAGGAAATGTACTTAGTTACTTTACACCACTAAAATACATTTTAACAGATTAAATGTAGCTCGACGACAGCTAGCCCTAGTTAGCTCACGGTGCTAACAGTAGAGATTTACCTTAATACTGCAGGAGAACTTCTTCATATAAAACACATTTTATCCACAAGTCTTCAGCTGCCGGGCAGGATAATTCCCAGGTTCAAGTTTCCAACGTGTTTACTTCATGTTTTCCTTCTGTTTATTTGTTATGTATCCGGATTAAAGTCCCAACTGACTTCCAGTCTGTTGTTTTTCAGTTTACATTTAACCACGCCCACTTTCACATGACTCTATATACAGCCGTGACGCAATCGCGCAGAGCTACGTCAAGTGACGAAGCACAACCAATCACAGCCAAGCTTTCCTGTCTTCTGTAAACACCAGTTTTTTATTTATTTGAGTTATTTATTTATTCAAGAACATACATGAACATCATATCAACATACAACATCATTTTGCATTAAAAAAAAAACGCCTTTAGGTTCAAATAAAAACATTTAAAACAATGTTATTTCTACACAGATTTCTTGTGACGGGCACAAACTGTATATATATAACAAATACATAAAAGTGCACATCCATCCATCTTCTTCCGCCTATCCGAGTCGGGTCGAATTTGGTAATGTGTCTCTTGTAAATCAACCACTTACATTTGTAATTTATTCTCATATTTTCCACTTAAATCTCATAATATTTGAAGTTTTTCTTCTAAATTTGTGATTTATTTCTATTAAATTCCCCACTTTAATCTCAATTAATATTGTAGTTTTTTTCGCCAATCATTTGAATCTTATTCTGATAAATTAATCGCTTTTTTCCATATTATTTACCGCTTTAATCCAAGAGAAGATTAGTAAGGTATAAAAAGGGGGAAGAGTGTGTTGGGGCGCCACTGATGTTGATGAAAGCTGGTTCGAGGGGCCCCCAGTGACTTTTTGCCTAGGGCCCCCCCAGACTCTAGAATCGCCACTGCTTCAAATACAGGTATGTATACAAAATGACATCATCTACACAAATGAAACACACAACTCCAGATCAAAGTCAATAACTTTATTAGAAAAATAGGTTTAACTCACCTCACTGTACAGTATAAAACAATTCATTTGCAAGAATGCAAACACACTTGTTAGCAAAAAAAAAAAAAAAAACATCATTCCTGACTCTCAGAGCTCCAACAGAGTCGACACTAGTATGAAAAACAAAAGTAAATCAGGCTCCTGGTAAGAAAACAATACAAAGAAAGAACAAGCTGCACAATCCTCTCTGAACGGGAAGAAAGATTTAAAAACACATTTCAAGGCAAATAAATGCTATTACACACTAATGATGATTAAAGAGAGCTTAAAGGAGAAATCCAAACTAAATGTGTGGGACGTACAATGCATTAACTCGTGCTGTGATTTTGACTACAACTCCCAGAATGCCTTTCACCACCCACCAGGAAGAGTTAGGGTTGTGTGGAACGGATTTATTGTGGCTTTACGGGGAAAAACACAGAAAAGGACAAATCTAATGCTTTTCTATATTTGTTTGCTGTCAACAATTCACAGGAACTAAACAGGAAGTCAAAAAGTATTGGTTTGTTTTTACAAAAATTGAGTAATGTACACGCTTTGAAATGATTGGACACATTAATCTGTAGGACATTTCTCCCCGTGAACCAATATCTTCCCCCAAAAGTTAGTTATTTTCTCCTTTAAACTCTTAACATGTTGATTTCCAGTATAACGTGTACACATGAACTAACAGCAGTCACAACAACAGATACGGCATGATAATAATCAGTCTACTATTTGAAATGGATGACCATGCTTTTGTTCATGTCAGGGTTATCTCTAACCTCTAAGTTTATGTTTTGTGCAAACATCGACAGGTACGGATAATAACAAAAGGACAGGTTTCCCATCATGGAAGACAAAGGGCGTTTCCATTTTACAAACAAATACACATTTACAAAAACAGCTTCTGTCTGTAAACGACGTCGCTATCGGACACAGTTTTAGGGCCGCTGACATATCGAATCATTAAAATGCAGAGCGGGGAACGAAGCAGTTCGGGAGAGAATACATCCAGATTAAAGAGGTACGTTTACAAGAAGACACATGGATAATCTGTGGGAACACGAGGTACAATGACAGGGATAGTGTGTGTGTGTGTGTGTGTGTGTGTGTGTGTAGCTGGGTGTTGGTGCTACAGAACAGTGTGTGTGTGTGTCTCTCTCTGTCTCTCTCTGTGTGTGTGTGTGTGTGTGTGTCTATCTCTCTCTGTGTGTGTGTGTCTGTGTGTGTGTGTAGCTGGGTGTCGGTGCTACAGAACAGTGTGTGTCTGTCTCTGTGTGTGTGTGTGTGTGTGTGTGTGTGTGTGTGTGTGTGTGTGTGTGTGTGTGTGCGTGTGTGTGTATGTGTGTCTGTGTCTCTCTGTGTGTCTCTCTCTCTGTGTGTCTCTGTATGTGCGTGTGTCTCTATGTGTGTCTGTGTCTCTTTCTCTCTCTCTCTCTGTGTGTGTGTGTCTCTGTGTGTGTGTCTGTGTCTCTGTGTCTCTTTCTCTCTGTGTGTGTGTCTGTGTGTGTGTGTCTCTGTGTGTGTGTGTGTGTGTGTGTGACAAATAATGGGGTGTGTTTCTGAATAGAGCCTTGTGTGTATGCTAAAAATACAGATTTTTCTCTCATAAAATGTGACTTTAAATGTAAAATATAAGACAAGTCTTATATTTACTGGAATAAAAATCATGAGCAAAAGTTCTTTTAAAACAATTAGATTTCTCATAAAAAAAAGTAATTTTAATGAAAAGATATCTCAGTGTTTTCTTGTAAACGTGCCTCTTTTCTCTCTAAATTCCGTTTATGTTCTGGACGTTGCCCCTCGCCTCAACGGACCAGCTGAGCTATAACTCTTGAAGTGCTCCGTGTCGGGTTTCCTCTGATAACGGGAGGTCATCAGGTCGATCTTAGAAAGGTTAAAAACGGGGCAGTTCACCCCGAAATGTTATTTTCAATTGAGATTGTTTGGTTGAGTGTTGTGCACGGGAGAGTCCTCTCCAACGTGTGAGGAACTACATGGCACTACTCTTTCATTTGAGAGAATACTATTTCTGTGGAGTTTGAACTCTTGTAAATCAACCGCTTAAATTGTTGTAATTTATTCTCCACTTTATCTCAGGAAATATTTGAGTTTTTTCGAGTACATTTCTTAATTATTTTTTTGTTGTCAGTTAGGTCTCAGTGAGTATTTGAATTCTATTCTGATACATTAATTGTTTAACACACAGTCAGTCTGAACCCCCCCCCACACACACACAGTCAGTCTGAACCCCCCCCCACACAGTCAGTCTGAACCCCACACACAGTCAGTCTGAACCCCACACACAGTCTGTCTGAACCCCACACACAGTCAGTCTGAACCCCACACACACAGTCTGTCTGAACCCCACACACAGTCAGTCTGAACCCCACACACACAGTCTGTCTGAACCCCACACACCCAGTCAGTCTGAACCCCACACACACAGTCAGTCTGAACCCCACACACACAGTCTGTCTGAACCCCCCCCACACAGTCAGTCTGAACCCCACACACACAGTCAGTCTGAACCACCCACACACACAGTCTGTCTGAACCCCACACACCCACACACACAGTCAGTCTGAACCCCACACACACAGTCTGTCTGAACCCCACACACCCACACACACAGTCTGTCTGAACCCCACACACAGTCAGTCTGAACCCCACACACCCACACACACAGTCAGTCTGAACCCCACACACACAAACAGTCTGAACCCCACACACCCACACACACAGTCAGTCTGAACCCCACACACACAAACAGTCTGAACCCCACACACCCACACACACAGTCAGTCTGAACCCCACACACAGTCAGTCTGAACCCCACACACACAAACAGTCTGAACCCCACACACAGTCAGTCTGAACCCCACACACAGTCAGTCTGAACCCCACACACAGTCAGTCTGAACCCCACACACAGTCAGTCTGAACCCCACACACACACACAGTCAGTCTGAACCCCACACACAGTCAGTCTGAACCCCACACACACAGTCAGTCTGAACCCCACACACACACACAGTCAGTCTGAACCCCACACACACACACAGTCAGTCTGAACCCCACACACAGTCAGTCTGAACCCCACACACACACACAGTCAGTCTGAACCCCACACACACACACAGTCAGTCTGAACCCCACACACACACACAGTCAGTCTGAACCCCACACACAGTCAGTCTGAACCCCACACACAGTCAGTCTGAACCCCACACACACACACAGTCAGTCTGAACCCCACACACAGTCAGTCTGAACCCCACACACACACACAGTCAGTCTGAACCCCACACACACACACAGTCAGTCTGAACCCCACACACACACACAGTCAGTCTGAACGTGCCCTTTGTTATAAAAGACAAACTTTTCTTGTATAATTAAATGTTTGCACATCTTTTCTGAAGCATGTTATATCATTAATTGTTTTTTTCACATTATTTGTGTTTGAGTTTTTTCTAGTAATCTATAATTAAATCTCGGAGAAAATATGATTTTTTCTCTTAAATTTGTGTTTTATTTACAATAAATTGACCACGTTAATCTCAATGAGTACGGACATTTTCTTCTCGTAAATGTTTTTTGATTTTTTTTCTTCAAATATAACCACTTTCATCTCAGAGAATATAAAGCTTTTCTGTATTATGATATTTGTTCTCATTTAAATGTTAGATATTCTTTGAGCTTTTTCTGAGTAATTTGTTAGTTGGTTTTTTTCCGTAAACGAACTGCAGGAAACGTGTTTAAAATATTTAGGTAGGCATTACTTTATATCTACTGAAGCGTGCATCTACTCAGTAAAGTGCTCACAACACGGTCTGTGCATGACTTTAAGAAAGTGGCTCTGACTGAAAAGAGACACAACTGTGGAGGTTTTTCAAAGGTTGAGAGCCATGTAGTTCCTTTATGTTGGAGAGAAGGAAGACATTTCAGTGAGGAAACCACATCTAAACAATCTGAATTTAATAAGCTGCACTACAGGGTGAACTGTGCCTTTAAGAGCTCAACGTAACTAGTAGATGGCATGAAATAAAGCACACCACACTGTCAAAAAAAGCGCTTCAACATCCTCAACTCTTTAGTTTCAAATGGCAATTTCTGGGGATTCTTAAAAAGGAAGTTCTTGATTATCTCGGAGCATGGCAGTTTTTAGGAGACGTGGCTCCCGTTTAGAAAAAGGCTGGATAACGTTTGGAGCGCTGAGTCGTTGACCTTACCATTTCCT